AGGAAGGATGATAGTTTTCTTTTTTTCCTTTGATAAACACCTTCCATATTCTTGTTTATCCCTTCAACAAAAAAATGAGTATTTTTATGCCAGGGAGTGTGTGAGGCAGTGACCTCTCTCTTACATCTTAGTAGGGGAGACACAATACCAAAACTTATATATGATTTGGACCCACTGAGAGGATGCCTGAGTCTAGCTGGTCTGGGATGTCCCTGAGGAGGACCAGTGGAGTCTGGTGCTCACTCTCCTCCTGTCCTCTCTCTCCCTATCCTGGGGCTTTATATGTGCTAGGTAGGCAAGCCCTCTACCACCGAACCAAATTCCTTAGTCCTGTGTGAGTGCTTTAGGGGAAATAATGTGTGTGCTGGAGGAAATAAGGACAGGGGAGTCTAAGACTGAGGGGGCTGGTGAAGAGACAATGTGAATAGGGAGGACCAGATCATCTAGATCTCTGTTGGAGACACTGGCAAAAGACAGAGGGGAGTTGAGTCCCATGCCGGCCTGGGATTCACTGTGTAGACCAGGCTCAAGCTTGCAATAGTCTTTCTACCTCAGATTTCCAAGTGCTGGGATAACAGGCATTCATCACCGCACCTGGTGTGGAGAAAGATTGTTTGGAATGGAGAGAGACAGAGACATACAGAGACAGAGAGAGACACACAGATAGATACAGAGACACACAGACAAATAGAGACAGAAGTACATGGATTAAAGCATAGTTAAATATAGAATCAACAGGACTAGATGGCTGTTGGATATGGAGTATGTGGGAGAAAAAGTCAAGAACAACTCCAACATTTTTGGCTAGAACAGGGAGGAACAGGTTGGATGGGGAAAGATAAGTTAAATTTTGGGATTTGGGGCTTGTGAGGATGCTATGGCATTCCTAAGAGAAGATGTGCACCAGGTATATGGATACAAGTTGAAACTTGGAAGGGGAGTATATGTCTGGTGAACTAAAATCTGCTATTGGTCTTGGTAGTGGTGAGTATAGGAAGTGTCCAGTGAGAAGAGGGCTGTGGGACTAAACCCTGAAAATACAGGGTATGAAGACGACACTGGCAATTAAAAAAGTGACCAGAGGAGGAAAAACTGGGTCTTGCATCAGTTAAAGAAAGAGGGGTTTGAAAAGGAAGGTTTGATGCTACTGACTCTGCTCCACATTAAAGTGGGTTGAAAACTGCGAGGGAGGAAAGCAGTTACAAAGCCCAGTGTAGACACCTTGAATGCGGCTGCGAAGAGGAGGAAGTAAGCAGCCAGTACTTACAGGGAGACATGCTTTTATGAGAGAGTTCATACATTTAAAGCTGTTGGCCAATAACCAGTGAAGGCCAATGATGTGTGTATGAAAGAATTGTTACACATGGTCCCTGTCCACAGATGGAGGTAAGCTTTAGCTCTAAGGAGTGAAGGCTCTGAGATGGGTATGGACACAGGTTTGTAGATTTGTGTTAGGGAAGTTCTTTTCTGTTGGCTCCCACTCTTCTTTGAAGTAGGAGAATGGGCAGAGGTGAGGGGTGTGTAGGCTGAGGGTGAAGATGAGTGAAGTGTTGTGTGGAGCAGAGTGTGAGCTGGCTGGGAAAGCAGGTCCTGGGTTCAGAACTGGTTCAGAAATTTTGTCTGAGCTTGCACTGTGGGAGAGGCCTGTCCTCCCCATGGACTGCTAGGTGCTAGTAGGTGAAGAAAACTGATCCAGAGAGCTGCTCTTGTCTTTTAAAACAAACCACAGGATTTAAGAGTAATTTATTTCCAGAATAAAAACTCACCCCTACCAAAGATAGTTGCCATGCCCTTTGACACACTGGCATGTTAGTTGTTTCTTATTCAAGAACATTTTCCCTTTATTTTGCTTGTATATATGCATGTGTATACATGTGTGGCTGGTTCTTCAGAATTCAGAACAGAGCATCAGATGCTTGGAACCGGAGTTACCCCAATGGCTGTGAGCCAACACGTGGATGCTGGGAATCAACTCAGGTCCTCTGCAAGAACAGTAAGCACTTTTAATCACTGAACCATCTCTCCAGCCCTAAGAACATTTTATTCAAGTACATTTTCCTTAGTGCAAATTCAGCCTCATGTTGGAACTTGGTGACTAATTTGCCTTGTGTTGTGCAGAACCACTTTATCTTTGCTTAGTCCTGATTTTTTTGACACATTGCTAAACTCCCCCTTCCCATTTTTAATAGATCTTCCAGATGTCTGCTTTTATTTTATTCCATATCTTTCATATCTATGAATATGAAAGGCCACTTAAAATAGGAAGTACACTGTAGTGTTTGTTCAGAACCTCAGATCAGTACATAGACATCAGGAGCTGGTCCAAAGATTACCTGATGTATAAAAGCAAGCCAGTTACTATCCAGGTTCTGCCTCTTAATAATTAAATGGCAGTTACAACTGGTTTCTGCAGCACACCAGCAGAATATGTAAAATCCAAAATGAAAAGCAAGGTATGCGTGTGCATGTGTATACATATATATTACTTCCAGCTAATGTTGGGTTTATATATGGTAACTTCTCAGTTTCATATTGAGACCCAGGTTGAACAAATATGAATATATTTATGGGGCAACACAATAGGATATTTGAAATAAAATAGTATTAATATATTCATATAATTATTAGTATAGTATTATTAGTATCATATTAATTGTGTATGGTAAAGCAGGTACATAACAAGAGACTATCCTAATATTTAGCATAATACTCCATGTCAACTTCAAATCTGTAATTTATAATGCTAACATTTTCACATTTTCAAATGATATACTCAAGATTTTAGTACATATTTATTTTTGTTTTTTTTAGAGACAGGGTTTCTTTGTGTAACAGTCTTGGCTATCCTGAAACTTGTTTTGTAGACCAGACTGGCCTCAGACTCACTGAGATCTGCCTGCCTCTGCCTCCCAAGTGCTAGGATTAAAGGTGTGTGCCATCACCACCCAGCCTTACTTATTTATTTATATACATATGTGTGCCATAGTGTACGTGTGGGAGACAGAGAACAACTTACAAAGAGCCAGTTCTCTCTACCAAGTAGGTTCTGGGGATTGAACTCAGGTCATCAGGTTTAGTGGCTTAACCCTCTAGGCCATTTCACCAAGTCTACTCAATGCTTTTTAAAAAGATACTAACTTGAGTCTTAGTTCAGTCACGCTATTGTATTTGGAAAAAGAGACTGCATATTTTTGTATTATTAAACAAAGAATAGTTTAGTTAAAAAAATAATTCATTTTTGGGATAAACCTTAGGCAATTAGTTAAGACTGCTCATATGCATTAGTAGACTGATATTTAAGCAAACAAGCATACTTTGCATTATCAGAAAGACAGCTTTCCTAAGAGAGGGAAGACTCTTTGATGGTCTGATCAGCTGCCTAAGTCAACAGTCACTGAAATGATACTGCTTTGCTACTGTTATCTCCACTGATGGCCTATTAGCAACCTGTGTCACTGCCCTACACTTGCTGTCCCCTCTCCGTATTTCATTGATGGCTCACTGCCAGTTCCTAACAATCTCCTTCCTTTTATCTTTCATTAAGTCTTTTGGTTTGAAACATTCTAACTTGAAATGGAGAGTTTTCTTTTTCTAACTTGTTTCAGATCCCATTCACTGCAGCCAGTTTATGTGGCTTGTGCTTTTAGACTTTTACCATCGTCCCCTTCCTGGCTCCAAGGAACTGAGTTACTACTTCTGTGGTTGCTGACTGGCAAGGTTATTTTGGGCCATGAAGGCTGCTGGGGTCAGGGTTAAGAGTGGAGAAGTAGCTGAAATCAGTTTCAGTGGGTGACTCAATTTTTTTTTTTAAAGATTTATTCGTGTGTGTTTGTATATGAGTGCTGTCTCATGCACATCAGAAGGAATCTGATCCCATTACAGATGGCTGTGAGCCACCATGCAGTTGCTGGGAATAGAACTCAGGACATACAGAAGAGCGGTCAAGTGCTCTTAACCGCTGAGCCATCTTTTCAGACTCCACATTTTTGGTTTTTACATCCTATAAGGATTGCAAATTGTCATCAGGAACTTAATGTGTGTGCCCAACTTTTTGTGTACATTATTTGAAATAACTGAAAAAATATCAATAGTGTTGTGGGGGACACTCTTTTCAGTCTTGGTTCCACTTTTTTTTTTTTTTTTTTTTTTTTTTTGAGGCACAGTTTCTCTGTGTCTTTGGAGCCTGTCTGGGAACTAGCTCTTGTAAACCAGGCTGGTCTGGAACTCAGAGATCTGCCTGCCTCTGCCTCCCGAGTGCTGGGATAAAAGGCACGAGTCACCATCACCTGGCTCTTGGTTCCACATTTAAAAAAATTATACCTTCTGCATTTTGAATTAAGTTTCAGTAAGGTGGCTTTTCTTGCTTTACATTTAAAAAACAAACTGGCTCTATGTTTCAGATCATTAAGTCTGAAGATCACCATACCATAACTGAAAACAATTTTGCCAGTTTAGTGTAAAAGCTATAGCTACCAAAAAGTAGGACTGTGTCAGAAGAAACAGCAAATTTTGGTTAGTTACCAACTATGAGTTTTAGAACCAAAGCTTGTTCAATAAAAGGAGGGGATAGGTGCACACCTAACAGACAAGGCATAGAGAAGTCATTATCAATCTGGAGTAATCAATTTACCCACTTTGAGCCATAGCAGGTGTGTGTGTGTGTGTGTGTGTGTGTTTTACATTTGCTGCAGGTTGGGACTGAATCCAGGGCTTCCTGCACACCACAGCAGGTGTTTCACCTGTTATAAACACAGTCATTTATTTTAATGAAGTTCCCCCTGACACCCTGTTTTGTTTTATTTTCTCTTTCTTTTTTTTGGAGACAGGTTTTCTCTGTGTAACAGTGCTGGCTGGCTGTCCAGGAACTCACTCTGTAGACCAGGCTGACCTCAAACTCACAGAGATTCAACTGCCTCTGCCTCCCGAGTGCTGGGATTAAAGGCGGGCCCCACCACTGCTTGACAAGTTCCCCTTTCTTAAAGCATTCCAGGAATCAGATGAAGATGGGATAAATTCATCTTTATTAAATAATTGCAGACAGGAAAGTCTTGGCATCAGAGAATGCCTTATTTTTATAATATGGAGGCCCTAAGTGGAGTTAGGTCATGAACCACTCCCAGCCAGACATTTCTCACTATGGCTGTGCAATAAGATTTTTGTTCTGCTGTTTTCTTCATGCATGTCTTTACATTCCATGTCACAGGTTTGCTTTAGAACACTGCTTTTCCTTTAGAATAAGTCAATGGGGAGTGGAGATCAAAAGGAAGTTAATTTTTATAGCAACAAGAAAAAAAAAAAGAACCTTACTTGAAACTGTATAATGAGGTTTGTCTTTCTCAAAGTTTTTGGTACTTAAGTTCAAGACATTTTCACAGAATGTACTGTTCTCTCCTCAGGGTTAAAGTGAAACGTCCAATTCAGATAACGCAGAGGATGACATTTGTTTTTCAAGAAAACAAAGAAGTAGGACTAGTAAACTTTCATCTACTAGTGCTTTTCCCTTAGGCACTGAGGCTGTCACCATAGGGAAGGGCAGAGAGGGGACTACAGATTTCATAAGCATTCTGCAGTAGCTACTTCTTTTTTTTAGCAAGTCTGGCAATTAGATCTTTCCATTCTCCCCTCTTCTTTGTGATGTATGTTGGGGTGAGTAGCTGCAGAAGGGATTCTGGTTGTTGTCTAAAGAAATTCTGACACAAGGCCTCAGTGTTACATATCACGTACATCCCACAGTCGTAGCTGTTTTGTTGAGCTGGGGCTTTCTCTTCCACAAAGACCAGTTTGTCTCCTTTGCTCCCTAAGAAAGCCTTCAGTTTCTCTGCTACCTGCTTTGCATGGACTGAGTTGCTTCTGCTATGGGAATCATAATGAAAGAAGCTATTTTCATCCTGGAGATAAACCAACAAACTCCAGTGGGTACCCCCAGCTGCCTGGTTAGAATTATCATTGATGGCTAAAAATACAACTCTCTTGTGGGCAAGATCCAGGGGTTCAAGGAACATGGCAATCTCCGCAGGGCTGCTGGTACACTTAATGAACTGGGTGACTTCGGGGCTGATGAAGCAGACATGGTCCGAGCAATCATGAAACTGACTATTGGCAAAGTATTCAAAGGCAAACCCAATAATATGGTCATTGAGCCAGCTTGGAGGGTCCAATAGTGAGACATCTGACTGTCGCAGTAGACTGTCCATATAACTCAAGACTACAGGATCCATCTTGTATTGTGCAGGACTTCTCAGAAATCCCAGAAGCTGAAGGAGAGTCACAAGACAATATTTACTTTTGAATATGATACTAGGTTATAAGACAGTAGCTACTCTTATAGGATTATTGTAAAGATGATATATAATTATAAAGTCTTTATCAATAATTTCCAACAATGCTGACATCACAAAACACTAAAGCTGGATGGTGGTGGCATGCCTTTAATCACAGCACTTGAGAGGCACAGACAGGCGGATCTCTGAGTTTGATGCCAGCCTGGTCTACATTAAGTTCCAGAACAGCCAGGGATATGTGGAAGAACCCTGTCTTTAAAAAACCTAACTAACTAACTAACTAACTAACTAACTAACTAACTTAATTAATTAATTAATTAATTAAAAACTACTAAAGAAACTTTAGCTTATGTACTGGATATGAACAATTAGGATTATACTCTCAGAGACAGTACAGAATTTTAGTTTTATATTTAAATCTAGAGAATGGTTAAAATTATAGCTGACATTTTACCAAAACCACAGCAGTAAACACATTCTCACTCTAATGAATATGTAGTTGGGTGTGATGGTGCATGCTTGTGACCCCTACATCTGGGAGGGAGAAGCAGGAGGATCAGGAGTTCATGGTCAATCTTAGCTACACAGTGAGTCTGAGGTCTGCTTGAGCTGCCTGAGACTCCATCTTAATATAATGCATGATAACAACAAATTATTTTTAAAGATGAATTCAAAGAGCCTGAAGGAAAAAGTTACTAATTATCAAAAGAAATAGTTTCTGTTACAACATTAATTTTATATTTTTGGTTGTGAGCCTAGCCTTTAACAGCTGAGCCATCTCTCCAGCCCTACAACATTAATTTTAAAGTGATAAGAAAATATTCCTTCCTCCTTCCATAATAGAAAGTGACAGCAGTAATAGGTGCAATTAAAAGGTATGGGAATTTCAAGAACAGAAAATCATGCAGATAAAGTAATGCAAATGAAATCCATTCCTAAATCTTCCCAGCTTTATGCATGAGTGATGTTTTTGCTTATTTCCCATCTTCCAACTTCAATATGTGGGATAAAGACAGAGTAATACAATGCTTATCAGAAGTTCTTTTGACATTTTGATACATGCTGGCATAGGCATCAGGATTCCTGGCTTGAGCCTTAGTTTTAGCACTGATTTGCTAGTATTGCCTTTAATCCCATCACTCAGGAGGCAGAGGCAGGTGGATCTACTAAGCAGAGGCCAGCTTGGTCTAAAGCACTAGTTTCAGGACAGTTGGGGCTGTTATACAGAGAAACTGTCTCAAACAAAAACAAAAACAACAAGAACAACAGCAACAAAAAACAAACAAAAAAAAAAAAAAAAAAAAAAAAAAAAAAAAAGAGAGAGAGAGAGAGAGAGAAAGAAAAAAGCATTTCATAACTCTGCAAAGTTGGCAATAAGTTTCCTTGAAGATAATTAAAGCGTTTCTTTATTTGAAACAAGTTCTTACTATATAGACTTGGTTAGCCCGGAACTCACTATGTAGACCAAGTTTGCTTTGAACTCAAATAAATCCATCTGCCTATGCCTCCTGAGTGCTAGGATTAAAGGTGTGCATCTAATAAGCCCAAGCCCAAAATGTAAAGAGTTAAAAAAAGTTGTATATGTCAGGTGTTGGTGGCACACGGCTTTAGTTCCAGCTCTCAGGAGACAGAGGCAGGCTGATCTCTGTGAGTTTGAGGCCAGCCTGGGTCTACAGAGCAAGTTCCAGGACAGGCTGCAAAGCCATACAGAGAAACCCTATCTTACATAATATTCACACTATCAACTAGATGATATTATAGATACAATCAGAAAATCTGGCTAGCACTATAAGCCAATTATAGTAAATGAAGGCTGGAAACAAAATACCCATTCACATTTACTTGTTTAAATAACAAGTTGGTTAACTTGGGGGGAAACACAGACAAGGTGTCTCATGGTATTAATATGCTTGTGAACAATCAAGGCTGTGCTAACAGGCAAATCTGCAGGTATACAAGATGGCTTACTTGAGCCTACAGATTCAACTGAGGTAATGATTAACTGCTGTGCACTAGCCTGACCTCAGTAGAGCTTCTAAAACCACAGATCAGGAAAAGGATCACAGGCAACAGAAAGAACAAAACAAAACATAAGAACACAGAATGATGACAACGATTTAACCAATTCTAATCATTAGATCAAGTATTTTTTTATCATTTGGTTACACTACTAAAGTCATACAAATTTAATATAACCAATTTCATGTAATCATACCACAGAAAACTGTACAGAAAGTTGGGCATGGTGGTGCACATCTTTAGTCACAGCACTAAGGATGCACAGGCAAGCAGATCTCTTGAATTTGAGGCTAGCCTGGTATACAGAGTTAGTTCCAGGACAATCAGTACTATACAGAAAAACCTTGTCTCAATAAACCAAACCAAACCCAACCCAACCCAACCCATAAAAAACTGCACACACAAAAAAATACCTTTCAAGAAAAAAAAATGTTAAAGTAAAATGAGGTGACTATGTATACCAGGCAGTTTTATATACACACCATGTAATAATCTGAACAACTTAAAAATCAGAATAAGGCTGCTTAGGAAAAACTACATGTATTTTTGTATACACAGAATGCCATGAATTAAGAGATTCAAAAAATACTGTGAGACAACGTTCTCTTCCTAAGTAGCCTTTCCTAAGTAGGCTGGCCTGAAATGTCTGGCAATCCTTTTTCATTGGCCTTCCAAGTATGAATTAAGTTTTTATTAAGAAAGAATAACATTGCCAGGAGAGCAGCAGCTTGGTGGCAGTACATTTGCCTGCCATGTGCAAGACCCTGGATTCTACACCCAACAAAAAAGCATGAGAACCAGAAGAAGGAAGAAAAGAAAGGAATAACTAGAGTTCAGACAAACGAGTCAGGAGTGAAGTTAACGAGGCATAGAGTACATTGGTTATGCATGAGCCACAAACTTAGCTCTAAACTTTTTGGCAGATAACCAGAGAGTTAAGTTAAATATTCACAATCCATAAGGTAAAAAGAAAATGCTTACTCAGGAGAGGTAACAGCATTCTTTGTGTTAACATCTAATAGTTTGTTATTATTGTTGTTTTGTGTTTTGAGTCAGGGCATACTACTGGAACCCAATATGACCTGAAACTTGCTATATAGCCCAGGCTGGCTTCCAACTCACAACAATTCTGCTTTAGCCACAGAGTGAGTTGGGATTATTAGCATAAGCTACCACTTCAGGATTTTGATAGTTTTTCCTCCAAGAGATTTTCATAAAAGAAAACACGATACACCATAATTTTTATGTTCCATGTCATCTTTATGCTCACATAAGATTGTTTAAAAAAGTGATTTTTTGAATATTAAGTCTGAGCCTTTAATCCCAGCACTTGGGAAGCAGAGTCAGGCAGATCTCTGTGAGTTTGAGGCCAGCTTGGTTTATATAAGTAACTTCCAGAACAGCCAGGCTACAGAGAGAAACCCTGTCTCAAAAAACAAAACCAACCAACCAAAAAAAAAAAAAAAAAAAAAAAAAATTAAGCCTGACAACAAATGACAGTGTAGTCAGTTTTTCAAGTGCTAAGTACTTGGATTTGATATAAGAATCTGGGCTTGAGAGATGGCTGAGCTGTTAAGAACACTGGCTGCTCATTCAGTGGTCCTGCATATAATTCCCAGCACCCACATGGTGGCTCATAACCATCTGTAATGAGATCTGATGCCTCTTCTGATGTGCATGAAGACAGAGCGCGCGCACATGCGTGCACACACACAAAATCTTAAAAAAAAAAAAAAAAACCAAAAGAGTGTCAAGTCAGGCTTCTGGACACATGTCTGTCTCCCTTTATATCAGCCTGTGTGTTGCAACCACTTTGGCAGTCACATATCAGATATTGTGTATATCATATATTAACATTATAATTTATAACAGTAGCAAAATTATAGTTATGAGGTAGCAATGAAATAATTTCATGGTTGGGGGGTCATTACAAAATGAGGACTGTATTAAAGGGTTGTAGCATTAGGAAGGCTGAGAACCACTGGTTTCTAACATCAATAACTACAGCATAGGGGTGAATGTCAGGATATACAATTTGGTGAATATCTGAGCTGTGTAGCTGTTAGTTTTCCATGACCCCCAAGTTAATAGCCAACTAGGGATAGAAGTTTGCAAGAAAAGTACTTGAATAAACAGTTTGCCTCACACTGAAGGAAGAGACTACAAGACTACATGCTGTTCAGTCTGTTACCACTTAACATCTAATCATCTTCTAACCTGTGTTTACACTCCGTCTAGTCCCACTTCATTGAGTCACGCTTAAGAGTCTATGATGGTCCTAAACTTAGGTTGATCCTCTTGCCTTAGCCTTCTGAGTGATGGTATTATAAACATGAGTTACCATAGCTAGTAAAGCTCACATTTTACTTAGTTTTTTTGTGGTCTGGGGATTGCTCAGGGGCAGAATGTTTGCCTAATATGTACACAGTCTCAAATGTGATCCCCAACACCAAAAACTGGGGGGAAAGTTTTGTGTTTTGTATGTGCTTTGAAATACCTAGTATGGTGGTTGTAAAGATGGTTCAGTAGTTAAAAGCAGTTACTGTTCTATCAGAGAACTGGAGTGCAGAACCGAGTGCATACACAGAGCTGCTCACAAATGCCTTCAACTCCAAGGGATCTGATGCTCACTTTTCTTTGCACCCTTGAACACACACACAGGCAGACAGAAACAGAGACACAGACATATATATATATATATATATATATATATATATATATATATATATATATATATCAAGTGTGTAGACCAAAGACTGATTTGATTTTATATAGTGTGACTATGATAGTTTAACTCCCTGAGTTCTAATGAAACTAGAACTAAACTAGGCTTAGGCCAAACAACCCTGTCCAAGAAAGAACTCTAAACGTTCAACCTAAACACATTTGGTTCTGTTACTTATTAGCTATATAACCATATAGAAATTACTTTTATTAAGTCATAATTTCCTCTT